ACAGCAGCCAGACTGCAGAGAATGTGGAACTTGGGTAGACGCATCCATTGGCAGGAAGGCCAGGGCAGGGGCAGAGCTAATGATGTCGTCCTTGGTGCTCTGAAGTGTGGCGTATCCGTTCCTATCATGGCTGCTTACTTTCTTCTGGAAATTCATTTTGGGGCCGGAGAGATGACTCCGCAGTTAAGAGCTCACTGTACTCTTGCACGGGATTTGAGATCCCACCTCCCAAGTCTGGTGGCTCACAACTGCCCAATACTCCAGCTACAGGGGATGCCATGCCCTTTCTGGTCTCTAGGACACCTGCACTTCCGTAACACAGACACACATATACACCATAAAATATATGCCTAATACACACCCAGTGAAAATGAGCCATATTCACCATGTACAACCCTGTGGCATTAAGCATGTCCACTGTGTTGGGCTCCTCCCATTCGGGACCTCCTTGTTCTCCTCTCCCCTCACTCTGCTGCTTTCTTTCCTTCCTGTTCGGCGTGCAGGCTCTCATGTAGTCCGAGCTAGCTTCAGACTCGCTGCGTAGCTGAAGTTGATCTTGCATTTCTGCTCTCACCTGCCTGTTTGCCTAGTGATGGAACCAGCGAACACCACCACCTGCAGTTTCTGCAGTGCTGGGGTGGAGCCCAGACCTCTGGGCATGTATTTTGGGCACTCCACCCACTCAGTCCCACCCCAGCCCTGTTCTGTGAATTTGACCACTATGGCGTCTGCTTACCGTTACCAGTTAGTGTTGGCTCATTTCACTTAGCATGTCTTCAGGGTGCTTCTCCACCACCTTGTAAGTCAGACTTGCCTTCTCGTGACACATACATGACCGTACCCCATTCTCTGTGTCCACGCATCCTTTGATGGACATAGGGTTGTTTCCAGAATTCGGCAGTTGTGACTGGTGACGCTCTCACTCTTGTTATGCAAGGGTCTGACTGAATCCCTCCTTTCCGGTTTTTGAGTGCGTACCATTGAGAGGAATTAACTGGCCACACAGGAATTCCATGATTCACTGTCTGAGGAACTGCCAGCGTTTGCTTGAGGTTTGAGTGTGTACTTTCTTTGCTGTTCACTAGGCTGAGTATCTTGTCACATGGTTGAGTTTGTTGTGGTTCTTTTGGGTGTATGGTATGTGCACATGTGTGTGTGCGCACGGAGAGGACGTTGGGTGTTCTGCTCTGTCACTCTCCTTATTCCTTTCGGATAAGACTGACCCTGGAGCTCGGTTGGCAGTCAGGAAGCCTCAGCCAGCCTCCTGCCTCTGCCCTCATAGTGCTGGGGTTACAAGTGCACGTAGGTGACACCTAGCTTTTAATGTTCATGACAGGATTGGAATTCAGGCCCTTGTGTTGTGTAGCAAGTAGTACTCTTACCTACTGAACCATCTCCCCAGCCCCTTGTTTTTCTTTCTTTATTAAAAATAAAGATGATACAATATATTTTTATCATTTTTTTCCTCCCTCAGTTCCTCCCATGTCCTCCATACCCACCCACCTTTATGTTCTTTCTCTCTCTCTTAAAACAAATAAACAGCTGGGCAGTGGTGGTGCACACCTTTAGTCCCAGCGCTTGGGAGGCAGAAGCAGGTGGATCTCTGAATTTTGAGGTCAGTCTGGTCTACAGATCAAGTTCTGTGACAGCCAGGGCTACACAGAGGAACCTTGTCTCAAAAAAAAAAAAATAAACAATAACAAAAACAAACCAATAAATAAATAAGTAAAAATAAAAAGAGACCACCACTTTTTTTCTTCTAAATCATGAGAACACATGAACACGAATGGGAATGCCAAGGCTTTTGTGATTGGAGGATTCCCAGCCACCTTGCCTGACATAGTAGATGTTTTGCAAGTAATTCTGAATGGACACTTCCAAGAGGGCCCAGCAACATTATTGTGTCTCTGCTGGGTCCTTTAGGGAGTCCTGACTGTCTGACACTTTTACACCTTCCTCTCAAGATTCTCTTCTACCAGAGTGACCCAGGAGGCCATTTTATGCCTCTGCCAGTACCCACTGTTTTCCCAGCACCTCGAGATCCTCCTTGATTAGCACACAGCTGCCATCACCTTTGTGGATGCACTGACTTAGCTCCAGCTGTGCCTGGGACATTTGTCAAGACACATGAGCCAAAGCTCTGTCCCAGCAATGGTGAAGGTACGAGTCAGTCTGTTCCCTCTCTCTCTCTCTCTCTCTCTCTCTCTCTCTCTCTCTCTCTCTCTCTCTCTCAAATTGATATAAAAGTTCATGTAACATAAAATTGATTTTTTTGGGGGGGAGGCACAGTGCTGGGGGTAGAACCCAAGGATTCTCAAATCCTAGTTAGGAGGTTTGATGTCAAGCTTCATGCTGCACCCCAGCCTCTAATTAACTTTTTTTTTCTTTTAAATTTGAGACAGTTCTCACTCTGGCTTAGAACTCATTATGTAGACCAAAATGGCCTGGAACTCACAGACATTCTGCTTCTGTCTCTGAGGTACTGGAAATAAAGGTGTGCGCTACCATGCCCGGCAGATTAACCCTCTTAAAATCAATAGTTCATTGCATTTAGTATATACACGGGGTTGTGAAATTACCTCTGTCAGTTCGACGACATCTTCACCAAGATGAAGCCCAGCACCCATTAAGCAGTCACTGCATTGGCCCTAGAGTGCTCCATAGCCTCTGTGGATTTGCCTAGTATGGAAATTTCATTTCCATGGAATTCTGCAATACATATGGGCTCCTGGGACTGGCCTTGCACTTGGCATGCTGTTTTCATCTTTCATCTGTGTTGTAACCATTGCCAGTGCTTCTGGCCCTTTTATGGCTTTGTAGTTTTCCACTATTTGTGTGTGTGAACCACACTGCTCACCTGTTCATTGGCCACTTCCCCCTCTCGGCTGCAGTGACTGGTGCTGGTTGGGTGTGCTCTTAGGAATGGACCACATGGAAAGTCTCTAACTTTCTGAGAAACCACCTGCAGGCGGTTGTCTTGGTTTCTTAGGTGGTGCTGGGGCTTTGAACTCAGGTTCTCGTGCTTGAAGGGCAGTCACTCTTACCCCTGAGTCATCTCCTCAGCCTATTGGCTCGGTCTATAGCCTGGGCTGACCTGGAGCTCCGCCCACTTACAACACAGAGGTGTGACAGCATGTCCATAGTGCTGCCTGCTTCGGTCATGGCACAGTGCAGCGTGGAAGATACAGGCAGAAGGGTTTCATTTAGCCTGCCTAGTATCTCAAAGCTATTCAGTAATTACTAACTCTTAAGAAAAAAAAAACAAAACTGTGTGTGTATGTGTTGGGGGTGAGGCTAGCCATGTACCTGTGGCACCCAGAGGCATCACATCCCTTGGAACTGGAGTTAGAGACAATTGTGAGGTATCCAACATGGGTTCTGGGGAATCAAACTCGGGTCCTTTGCAAGACCAGGAGGTCTCTTAACTGCTGAGCCATCTCTTCAGCACCTGATAATTTTACGAGTTAAAAAAAAGTCAACCGGGCGCTTCAGAGATTTCGGAGCCAGCGATCTGAGTTTGACCCCAGTGCTCTCAATAGCACATGCTCACAAGCCCAGAGCAGGGGAGGTGGACATAGGCGGGTTTTGAGGGCTTGCTCACCAGCCAGCCTGACCTACTTGGAGACTCCAGTTTCTACTGAGAAACCCTGTTTCCAAAAACAAGGTTGAATGGCTTATTGGTTAAGAAGACCTGGGTTCAATTTTCAGCACTCACATGGCACCTCACAGCCGTCCGTAATTTCAGTTCCTATGATTTCAGTGTCCTCTTTTGGTCTCTTGGGCATCCATCTACCCCCCCCCACACACACAAGCAAAACAGGCATACACATAAGATAAAATAATTTTAAAGCTGGTTAGTGGTGGTGCACACCTTTAATCTCAGCACTTGGGAGGCAGAGGCAGGCGAATCTCTGTGAGTTCGAGGCCAGCCTGGTCTACAGAGCGAGTTCCAGGACAGCCAGGGCTACACAGAGAGACCTTGTCTCAAAACAAAGTAAAACAAAAAGAACCCTCAAAACCAATAATACTATTCACCGTTGCTATTATTTAAAAAAATTAAAAACCACTACTACCACCACCAACAAAAAACTGTGGTGGAGAGGGTCTTTGAGTGTTTTGTTTTGTTTTCTATTGTTCAGCCCCTGTAAATCTTGCTTGAGGGAAGGAAAAGTGGGGATTGGGGAACTAGGCAGTGGTAGATTCAGATCCCTGCTGAGCATCACAGCAAGTAGCTGCCAATACTTAAGGACCTATGTGGGATCTCTTGGTGTTCCTTATGCTTGCTTCGTATAGGAACTAAGTTTGGATTCCTTGTTATGTTATGTGAGAAGGAATGCAAAGAAAACATTGCTTTTTTAACTTAAAAAATTATTTTATGTATGTGAATGTTTTTGCTTGCATATGTCTGTGCACCATGTGTGTGCCTGATGTTCTTGGAGATCAGAAGCGGGTGTCAATTCCCCATGGAATTGGAGTTACTGATGGTTGTAAGCCTCCATATGAGTGTAGTACTGGGAATCAAACCCAAGTCCTCTGGAAGAGTAGCAAGTGTTCTTTACCACAGAACATTCTCTCCAGCCTTCAAAGGATGCATTTATTATTATTATTGCATAGACTGGGAGATCACATCACATCCTGTTTTGCAATATTTTCTCTTTTCAAATATAGCTCTTGTTGTGTAGCCCAGGCAGGTCTTGAACTCCTGTTGGCTAGGATTATAGGTGTGGACTATCACAGCTGACTGCACGTTTAGTTTTTGCTTGTTTTGAGACAGAGTCTTGCTCTGTAGCTCAGGCTAGCCTGGAGCATGCTATGTAGCCCAGGCTGGTCTTTAATTCCTGATGATACTCTTGCCTCAACTTTCCAAGTCTTATACCACCATGCTGGGCTGCAGGTGTTAAGGATGTTCGACGTGTGCACAAATCAGATGCTAGCCTGGTCCAGCGGAGCAACTTGTTTTCCTATCCCTGCCTGACTGACCCCTTTTCTCTTTCTGCAGGCAGCTGTGCTGCCGATGGAAGTGCTCCGGTCTGGCGGATGAAGCTGGTACACACACCATGTCATCATGTGTCTCTAGCCAGCCCACTAGCGACCGGGTGGCCCCCCAGGATGAGCTGGGAAGCGGGGGTGGCAACCGGGAAAGCCAGAAGCCCTGTGAAGCCCTGCGGGGACTCTCATCCTTAAGCATCCACTTGGGCATGGAATCCTTCATTGTGGTCACGGAGTGTGAGCCAGGCCAGGGTGTGGACCTCAGCCTGGCCCGGGACCAGCCTCTGGAGGCTGATGACCAGGAACTGCCCCTTGATGCCTCAGAATCCGAGGCACGGCCCCTACTTTCTGGTCGTAAGATGTCCCTGCAGGAGCGATCCCAGGCTGGGCCGGCACCTGGCAGCAGCCTGGACATGAATGGACGCTGTATCTGCCCATCCCTGTCCTACTCGCCATCCAGTTCCCCACAGACCTCCCCGCGGATGCCCCGGCGGCCCACGGTGGAGTCACACCACGTCTCCATCACAGGTTTGCAGGTTTGTGAGCTGAGTGAACTGGGATGGGGCTGGGTGGGGCCGGGAGGATGAGGTGAAGGACAGTGGAGCTGGCAGGAAGTCTTAACAAATCAATCCCTTCGCATTTCAGCTGCACGAACACTAACTCTTCTCTTTGACTACTGCTGGTTGACTGAGGGGTCTCCATCAGCTGTTGAACCATGTTTGTTTGGTTTCTTTGAGACAGGATCACACTGTGTAGCCTAGGCTGGCTAAGCATGGCCCTCTCTCCTCAGCCTCCTGAATGGAATGACAGGTGTGCGCGGCTGCCGCCAGCATTCTGAACTGCTTTTTCTAACGTTTTAGATGAGTTTGCACGTTCTAGGATTTTATGGAAACAGGTCCACTGCCTGTGCACTCTCTTTTAGCTCAGTGTCTTCTCCAGCATAATGATTCTGAGATTCATCTGTGCTGTTGGATACGCTCTTGGCCCCGATAGCTACAGATCCAGCCAACCTTGAAAATATTCTGAAGAAAAAGATTTGCAACTGTATGAGCCTGTGCAGGCTATTTTTTTCTTGTCATTAAATGATAATTTAAATAGTTACTGCCTCTGAGCCGTAGAGTAGAATGACTTACATAACTACTGACATTGTATTAAATATATAAGGACCTTGGAAATGATTTAAAGTATGTGTTTGGGAGCAATGGGAGAGGAATGGCTGCTTTTACAGAGGCCCTGAGTTCTGTTCCCAGCACCTACATGAAGGCTCACAACCACCTTTAACTCCAACTCCAGAGAATCTGTGCCCTTTTCTGACCTGTGGGGACATCTTACACTGACACACACACACACACACACACACACACGCACACACACACACAGATGAACTGAAGAGTTAAGATGTGAGGGAACAGGGCTGGGTGTAAAGGGCTACACCTGTCATCCCGGAACTCCGGATGCAGAGACAGGAGGATCATTGCAAGATCAAGACCAGCTTAAGCTGTATAGTGAGCTTCAGACCAGGCAGGTTGTCTCAACTTTCTAGTGCCAAAATGTAAATGAGAAAGGCTGTATAAAGATTATATTCTGTATTGAAACAGCGCCGTGCCATTTTCTTTAAGGGACTTGAGCTCTCACGTGCCTGGTATTTTCAGAGTTCTGCAACCAATCCCTACAAACACTGAGGGACGTGTGTGTTAGCAATTTATTTATTTATTTATTTATTTATTTATTTTATTTTTGGAAAATGATCTCATTGCATCCTGACTGGCCTCACACTCACCTGCCTCTGCCTCCTGAGGGCGTGATGCCACCATGCCTTGCTGTTGTTGGCTCTTTTTATACCGAATCATTTTCATTTCTCTTGGGTGATCCTAGAAGCAGAATGCTGGGGCCTGTGAAAGGCCTGTGTTAAGAAACAACTGGGGGCCTGGAGAGATGGCTCAGCAGTTAAGAGCACTGGCTAGCGCCGGGCTGTGGTGGCGCACGCCTTTAATCCCAGCACTCGGGAGGCAGAGGCAAGTGGATCTCTGTGAGTTTGAGGTCAGCTTGCCCTACAAGAGCTAGTTCCAGGACAGGCTCCAAAGCTACAGAGAAACCCCGTCTTGACCCCCCCCCCCAAAGACTACTGGCTGCTTTCCAGAGGTCCTGAGTTCAATTCCCAGCTCACAGCCATCTATAGTGAGATCAATTCCCAGCTC